TATTATTGGAATGGGTGAGGTCATGGCGATGAGTGTACGTCACGTTATTGAGTAAGCTTTAAAGTGACAAAAGCACTATGTCTGCTGCCAGTGCGGTCAGTAAACTCGGCCCGATAACCTGTCGGTACAAACAGTACGTCCTCAGGTGAAGAGAGCCATGTTTCGTAAGGGCAAATAATCGAGAATTTACGATTAGCTAGTGTTAGGAATTATATAAGGTCGTCGAAATGTTTTGGTAAACTACGCATCTTGAAATGAACGAGTAATTGGTGAGACTTCGCGAAGCCATGCAGAAGTTTTTTTGATTTTCGAACGCGTAAAGAGTCATAATTAAAATGTTCGCCAACAGCGTAAGTTAAAAAAACACCGAAAGGTCGCCGAGTTTAGAAATGCGGAAACCACGACTGTCAGGTTCCTTCCTGGTCTTAATCTGACAGTTATCAACCCTCAGAAATTGCCACTTTTTTGCTTTTTGTAGCAAGAGCACCTGGTAAAAAAGGCGCTTGTTTTCAGTCGTCAAATGGTCATTCACCAGCACTGGTCTTTCCTTGCATGCACCGAAGCGTGAAGGTTGAATGTGGCAATTAAGATTTTTTTTCATTGGGTCCGTTTCTAGTTGGCCCCAGTGAACAACAACAATGTCAGTGGAAGTGATTGCACAACCAACACTTTCGCTGATGCGCTGAAGAACCGCGAAACAGTCTTCACCTTTTGAAGTTGGCACATCTTTGATTTCAACATTATTTTGGCGGGAGTGTTGCTCGATATCAGCAACCCGTTGGCTAAACATCTCATTTTTCGTTGAACATCTTTGTTCTTTATCCGAATAGCTTCCTGCTCTTCTTTCATATTTTCGAAGAGATCATTGAACAGGTGCAGGCTGTTACGCAGCTGTTTGACTTTCGCAATGCATCTACATCTTTGGCTCGAACAGTGTTAGCTGGCATCGTGAAAGCAGTACACTCAAGAAGCAGCAGGTGACGTGGCAGCAATAAAACAAGTTGTATTTATGTAACGAAACTAGAAATGAAACAGACCTACGAAGACAGAATACGTTAATCAGGCGCGATGCGAAATCTGCCACGGCCACTACTACCAATTGATAGGCGCCATGGGAACCTTCGCCTTACGTAGTCGACACTGGGTGATAGAAAGTAAAGGAGGCAATGATGACGATGACGTCGACGATGATCGGTGATGCAGGCAATAGCACGTACTGTAGCTGCTACGTCGCCGGGCAGCGCGTGCAGAAAAAAGTACCAAAAGGGTGCTATTGCGAGAAGAGAAGAAGTTTGTCAGGCGCGATGCGAAGTCCGCCACGACCACTGTTGCCAAACGAGCAACCAGGCGTTGGCGGATTGATATATATATATATATATATATAGTAAAAAGTGCTTGCAGCAAGTAAAAAAAAACGCTTCACACTAAAAATCGATATAAAAAGGGAAGAAAGAATGTTTTTTGTTATTTGAACATGCCTTGACTCTTGAAATCTTCTATGGTGACTTGCTCTTCTAGATTTCCTGGAGTTCTTCAGGAAAATCGCGCAATACACTTATGGGTGACTGCTTGGGAAAATCCCACTCATGCCTAACATTTTCTTCTGTTTAATTCCTATGTTCCTCATGTGTTGTTTTCTTTGTGTTTTGTTTGTTTTTTTTTCCTCGTCAGGACGTCCCGAAGGGTTCCGCAAAAAACGCTTATGAAAGGGGTACTGCCAGTAGTGGTTTATTGGTTTCTTCTTTTTTCGAAAAGTAGATAAAAAATATCCGATGTGATAGTATTAGCATGGGTGGTACTACTAAATGTGTTTCTGGAATGATAGGTTGATTGATAAAGTAAGCTGTTCAAATGGAGGCCTAGTTGAGTGTATATTTTGTGTTGAAGTTAACAAAGTAGTCTTTATTTTTATAATAATATATTTTACTAGTTATTATATTATTTATTAGAATAACATACATGTATAATGGTTAAGTTCTCACAGATAAATAAATTTAATTGGCAGAGTCATAATTGTACATATACAAAGATTGTTCCTTCATGATCCACAATATCTGTTGGTTTGTTCGTTCAGCTTCGCGCTCGGCCGCCGTGGTCTATTGGCTTAGGTACTCGGCTGCTGACCCGCAGTTCCCGGGATTTAACCCCGGCTGTGGTGAGTGCATTTTCGATAGAGGCGAAAATGCTGTAGGCCAATGTGCTTAGATTTAGTTGCACGTTAAACAATCCCAGGTGGTAAAAATTTTCGGAGCCCACCACTACGGCGTCTCTCATAATCATATGGTGGTTTTAGGACGTTAAACCACACATATCGTTCAGCTTCGCACCAAGGTCATCAGAAATACACAGCACTCGTTAAGTGTATTAGGATAAAGGGATGGTGGAACTTTTCTAGGAGAGACTCTCTTTCTATCTCTTAATGAGTGCACCGCAGTGGGTTGAACATAGCTTCTAAGAGCTTCTTCTCAGTGAGACCGATCGGAGTTTAATTTGAGTTCCCCGATGCGAATGTCAGTGACAAGTTCGCTTTCACAGCCAAAGTATACGGTATTAGGGGGTGCAAAATATGAGTAGAATACAGATTACTACCCCCTTGAGTATTTGGACTAAGTTTGGATTAAAGAGGAGAGCGAATGGACTATGCAAAGTGTTGAGCATATGACGTAAAGAGAAAAATGAAAATTTAAAATTACAGTAAGTTTTGTAAGGAGTGTCTAGATAAGCATGATGTAAACCTATACCGACAGTAGAAAAGTATGGTTGGTAGCACTTCACTCCCCCCTCCTTGCCGAGGCCTCTGTGAAGACAAAGTGTTTCCTAAGAAGTGACGAAGACTAAAGTGTTCAGTCACAGTCATAAATTGAGCTGTACGATGTTTTCAACATAAGTAGGAATAGCCTCTAGGTGAGTCAGTGCGATTACCACAAAGGTTCTGCGCTTACACTGGTATGTTTTACAGCAAAACTTGCCAGATCGACATTCTGATCATAGGCAGCCTACAACAAATGAACTACCTTCTGTTAGGTTGTGTCGACCATGAGGAGAATACAGCCGGCTAATAGGCTGCAATAGAGGCTACTTGGTACATTTACTTGTTTAGTGTGCTGCAGATAGGACACCAACAGTAAAAGTCAATAAAAACAGGGAAAAAACGACGAAGAAAACAAGTACAAAGCAAGGTGATGCGAAAACGTTGAGTGGCGGATCACTCTGTGTTTCTTGTTGTTTCCAGTCTGCGTGCTATGAGGCAACGTGTGAAAACATAACGACCAAAATCTACGTTTGTACACTAGAAAAAAAAACGAATGACTGGGTATTGCAATTACTCAAAACTACGGCTCCATCTTCACAAACAAGTCCGAAAAACACCCGGTAGACACTCGCTTGTAAAGTTTTTAACAATTCGAATTCATCCAACAAGCTCGGCTTTTGAAAGATGATTTTCAATGTTCAAAGATAATTTTCAAAGCAGACAATTATCAGACAAAAGGAGAGCACAATGGTCAGTGGCAGCAACTTCCTAAATTATGTATGGGACTATACAACAAGATTTAAAGTTGTAATAGGGCGAAACATGGTTATTTTGTTTTCGAGCATTTTTGGCTGTATGTGCATGTTTCTGCGTTTGATGCTCAAACGTTGCAGACATCTAAATTACACTTAGTTTGGTGACATGTTCTTGTCGTTAGGTATTCTTTAAGATTTAGGTGTGTTGAGAAAGTTGATAACAATGGGGCCTTTGTTTTTCATCAAGAATATGAGGAAGGCTCAGAGAGGAAGCTGGAAATGAGCTTCACTAGCTACCGCTCGCCAGAAAAGTGCACTGTGATGAGTTTTAGCAAAGCAGATCAAGAGTCTTAGCAATAGGGTATGTCAGCAGGAACTGAATATAGATGAAGATTAAAAAAGCAGAAGTAGTAGCAACAATTCAATGCATCTTCAATGGAAAAAATAATGAGTGAATATTACAACAACTATGGTCCCAAAATAAACACTGAATTCCATAGAATGAAAGATTTGCGGCCAATAAACTCTGATTATCGTTGAATTTCATTCAAGAAAAAAAATTCGGAAAGTCACCCACTGAATTTTAAGAAAAACAAAGTACCAAAATATAGAGCCCCGTTACGGCACGAGAAATAAGTTTTATCATTTTCCCCAACAATGGCGTAACAGAAGCGCGTCAGCCCCGGACTGTGTAGGACGCCGAGAATGAGCGCTTGACTTACACCAAATTTTTGTGTGTCTGGAGGTGTTTTGTTGTCGCAGTGCTCGCGTTGCAGCCTAAATAACTGTGGGACATCAGCAGAGTGTATCCAACAATTTAAAGGCCCAATTTCAGCGCATAACAGGCGCCCTAATGTGCCTTGGGTTATCGTGCCTCGTGGATTTTACCAGCGTCCCACTACCCCCGCCACACTGGACCAATAACCATGTAAGGCCCTGGGAAAGCATGACTGCGTTTTATAGTAGGGTTTGTTTGCTTTAATTTCATCTATGCCATGTAGTTACCGAGGTAATGGATGCCTAAAGATATCTTTGTTGTCAAAAGTGGACAGACGATCAAACACTATAAACGCCCTTGAATCATCTTTATTGTTGGACAGCGCAGGCCACATAAATGACTAAGAAAGACAGAACAATCAGCCACAAGACTTCAATTTGCTTTGTTGGTCCTTTGTCGAATCTGTGCTATTCAGAATTTGAAAATAATAACCGGCTAAGCCAGCTCTAAATTGTGTTTTCTAACAAATGTGTCGTGCCTTTCTTGGTCCACATTCGTTCTTAGCACTGTATTGTTTTTCAAAATGGTGAACAACCTACTGCCTTAGTTTTTTTGTAGTCTTTTTCTAGTGCCCATTTTTTGTGATATTGCGCCAATTGAAGCGTTAGTTTTTATTTAATGTATACGCACGCGTTGAAAAACTTGCACGTTACGAAAGCTATACGTCTGATATACAGATCTGTCAACTCGTTTCTCTACTTTTTTTTGCAGGTGGTAAAACACCTTTGAAATCTCAAGTGCACGAAAAGTCCAAATTGCGTGAGAACTCTTATTGGTCTTAAATATGACGGCCGTATTGCAGTTCACAGTTCTATTATTTGTTTTACAGTAAGTATTTAGCTGAAAGTTTCTCGTGAAACAACTCGGATGCTACGAACATAAACGTATTGTGTTAAATTCTAAACGTACGCTTTACTTCGCGAATGCCTTCATAATTAGACAAAATAAATCATAGATTGGACTCGACACGTACTTACTTCTTTCTTATGGGAACTGACCTCCATGAAGAATAGTGTCCTGTTGATATGTGCTTTAGCAAAGGCCACCAACCTTCGGCATGCGAAGCAGTATTGCAAGGCCCGTCACAAGATATTAGAATCTCGCCGCTTCTTTTCACTTCCTGTCGGAAGGCTCACATGGAGGTTTTGACTTTAGTCTGGATAAAAAGAAACAAACACGGATCGCTGTTACTTGGCATTACAGCATATGAGCGAATATTGCAATCTCGGAACAAGCACGCCGAAAATCTTCAACGTTTATTTGCCAGTTGTTCACTTTGTTCATTCAGATTTTCTTCCTTTATCACCAAAGGTTTTCACATCTCGTTGTCTCCTGTTTTATGCGCCTTCAAGCAGCGACCGAGAAGGGTGGTTCTTGCCGATTTGGCACTCTACACTAAAATATTGCTGACTGCTGTTATATTCAGTTCGGTGTGTGCGTCTCCATGCTGTTGCACAGCAGTGCATAGTGACTTCATGCACTGATCTCTGCAAAAGTTGGCTGCTTTGGTGAATGATAGGATGCATGCAATGAGTAACCTGTTTCTTATGAAACAGTGACTGATGTCCCACATAATTCGAAGTTTTAAAAGATTAAGGTTCGGGTAGCGTTCATTCGGCAGGCATAAAAATTCGCCACTTTTCGCCGAGAGGAAAGAATATAACAGTTCCATCTTGCCGGTACTTACGAGCGTATAGCATAAAAACGGTGGCTAAGAAAGCCTGGTCTACCTAATTTAATAAGTTGCAGTGACCTGGGAAAAAATGGTTTCGAAAAACACCACTTCATCTGGACAAGCATACAGAGATAGTTTGCGTGCTTGCTTTCTGTTGCTCGTGTTTAGAGCACTTACAGCCCAAAAACCACTTCGATGTCTAGATTGACTGTAGGTACTTAAACTAGCTTTGTGCTGCGCTACGCTAGATTGCATCTAGAACACTTGGCTGCTATCTTTCGTGGTGTACTGTAATGTTAATTTCTTGTTGTCGCACTCATTGCTTCATCCTTGGAGCGAAAAACTGTGATAAGTAACGGCGAAGCAACTTACGCCGCTAGTGAAAAAACTTGGGCATTTACAGAAAATTAATATTATTACCATGATCAAGTAGGAGACATAAGAGTTAGGCCAGCTCTATCGCTCGCCCCCTGTTCACTATAAAGGTAAAGGGCAACAGGAGAGCGGCCTAAGCAATATCAGATTTCTAGACAGACGCAGCCAGTAATTCAGAAACTCGTTATCTAACAATCAACATTAAACCAGTGATGAATGCCATGGCTGTACGTTTCAGTAGCGTCCGTACGGAGGGCTTCAGTGGTGCGCACAACAAGTTAATACTAACGTTGAAAACAACGGTGGTTCCTAAGAGACCCCGAACGAAACGAAGGACGCACAGACAACTAGGTCACTGTACCATAGAGTGACTTAGTAAACGTAAAAAGCGGACACTCTCATTGAACCATGCTGCCCACATGACTGCTAGCTCTCCTGGCGGCCGGCATTCTTATTCCGGTTTTACCATTGCACCACAGCGGTTTCCATTTCGGCTTCAGCATTCTTGTGCGAAGGTGGGGTGTATCTTCTGTTATTAGGGAGTTCTTTCCTTAGCTGTTTTTAGGGTCGCATAAGCTTCAGGCACAGCTATTGCAAATATGTTCATCTATTGGTAGTTCTTGCGAAAAAAAATGCATTCCCAATTTACAAATGAATCGTGTTGATTCAGACAGCAGTACCCTAAAAATAACTATAAATCAGCTAAAAAGGTGTTTATAAGTTAAACATTACCTCCCTATTGAAAATCTGAGAAATCAATGCATAATGTTCACTATATACACAAACTGCAGTGTATTGTGTTTTTTGGGAAATAACATTGCTATGTAGAAAAACCACCATCGCATCGAGGAAGCTGTATAAAAGGTGCACAATATTCGCAAGCATATTCATTGTCAATACGAACATTTCAACACATCAGTAAAAATTTGAATTATTTACAAAAGTTTATGATCTATTTTTTCTTATTTAATTATTTATTCCTGGTACTGTTGGCTGTTCGGGCCATTGCAGGGGTGGGGCATATATCTTAACATTGTTTACATAAAATAGCAAGGCTTCTTCGAACCCCAATGTGTCGTTACATATGAACAGTCAACAAATTCGACATAATAACTATTATGCCAAGCATAAAGAAGCTATGCACAGACGAAAAAAAAAAATACAAAACGTTTCCATCACAATATTTTGCTCCTACACCTACATTATCCATACATCCTCCACTGCAGAACATTAGGCATCACAATACTGAATTCTACATGTGAAACGAAATTTGTGTGATTCGGTATATCCAATGAACTTTTAAATAAACAGCTTGCATTCACGAACATTTACTTAGAAAGTACTTTGTAGTTTTAAATCCATTATTTTTAGTTTCGCCACTCCGTACAGTCTTTAATGGTTGTAAGAGAATAACAGTACGCGTATGTGTTCACACGAGATTTGGGGATTTTAAAGTTGCTGCGGTGGTCACTTTGTAGGTTCTGGACAGGTCGCGAAACGAGGTACTGCGCTCCATCAAAGTTGAATGTCTTTCGAGAAAGCAAAAACAACGATTTTATACTGGCTATATGATGGTGTTCCAAAAGGGTGGGTAAGTTTTGTTGTTGTAGAATCTTGATTACAGAATTAGTTCGAGAGTATGTTGAATGAATCAATCTAGCCACTCTTCTTTACACTCGCTCAGCTTGATTGATTATTATGTGGCATTTAACGTTCCAAAACCACCATATGATTGTGAGAGACGCCGTAGTAGAGGCCTCCCAGCAATTTTGACCACCTGGAGTTCGTCAACGTGCACCCAAATTTGAGCACACAGGCCTACAGAATTTTCACCTCCATCGAAAATGCAGCCGCCACAGCCGGAATTCAATCCCATGACCTGCGCGTAAGCAACTCACTCAGCTTTATTGATTGGTTATTTCTGGTAAGGTTCCCTTATGATACTTGGATATTATAATGTAGGTCTTACTATAGCTAAATAGGCTGTTAACTTTACTGGGTCTTGATGCAAAAATCAGCGTGAATAATAAGACAAGATGTAAAGAAAGCAACATAAAAACCAAAACTCCGTGAGTACTCGTAAATACAATCTAGCTCTCACTATCCACGACAGCAAGGTTATAGCAATGTTTGATGGCGTAGGCGTCGTCGTTCTCTCAATGAACTCCTACTTCCTGTCCATTGGTACGCTGTAGCTTCCTGACTCCTTGTTTCTGGCGGTTGAGGTGAAATTCAGGGTGGGTGTTTCTCGGTAGATCTTACATGCATCTTCGGAGGAAGTTGACGTCAGTTCTTCTCATTATGGTGGAGCGTAGTGGAGATGTCTCCTGATGCCAATGCCATTTTCAGTGATGGTGAGCCTGTGGTTTTGTGATGATAAATGTGCCTCAGTTAATATATACGTATGCTTCATCCGTTCGTTTGTAACACGGAAGCATAATGCTTTAGAAGACTATCTTCAGTATTCTAGGTGTTGATATCAGCATTTTTCAAAATTTTCTACAACACTAGGACGCACGGCTGACCCAAGAGAGAGAGAGAGAGATAAAGAATAAAAAAAGGCAAGGAGGTTAACCAGACGCACATCCGGTTTGCTACCCTGCACTGGAGAAAGGATGAAGGGGAGAAAAGAGGTTGCAGAGATATGAGAAGGTACACACAATCACGAGCACATTCGGGGAGCACACACACTCTACAGATGGTCGCTCAGGTTTGTTGACTTTAAGTAAAGTAGCAGTGCTTTAGTCGCTTTCTGCGCAACTGAGGCAGATGCCCAAGGTCTTAGTATTTTCTGCACACGAAATGGTTCGGGGTCAAGTTGATTCAAAACCATCCGGAGCTGGCATAGCTGTGTATCGTAGCAAGTGCTGCTGCACATGAAGTGTTCGATGGTCTCTTTAGCTCCGCAGTAGTCGCATGTAGGAGTGTATTCCATACCAATGAGAAAGGAGTACACCTATGTAAATGCAACACCCAACCAAAGGCGGCATAACAGTGTCGCATCGGAGCGGTAAAGTTGTGATGGTAGCTTTAGCTTGAGCGAAGGATCCGGTTCATAAAATTCACACCTTTGGAAGCTGGTAGACGACCAGAACGTGCGTGTGAGATCTCGAGCCAGCAGGTAAAGTTGTATTGCTGCATCATTCCTTGATAGAGAAATCGGGACTACACGGGTTCCTGCATGGACTGAGCGGGCTGCATCATCGGCTAATTGATTTCCGGTAATACCGCTATGTCCAGGCAGCCATTGATATATAATATCATGACCCAAGATAGCTAAATAATAAACACGCTACCACGGAAAGCTATCGCCCGTCAGCGGAATTCAAAAAGAGAGTGCCTTCGTGCACCCAGCCGATGCAGAAGGAGATTACAGGAGAGAGGGCATTACCACCCACTCACGACACTTTCGGTTAGTATTCCATAGGAGGAGAAAAGGAGAGAAGAGTATCACTCTACCCACGAGTTCTCCTTTCTCTACCGCTCCCTCTTGCGCACAGAGGAGAAAATATTAGGAGGAGGAGGTAACAATGTCACTCTATTGGGTACTATAAATCATTCCACGAAGTCGCACGCACCTGCGGCCAATGACAACATAAACCATGACCGTTGGGGACTCGTTCGGAACTCGTCTGAGCCGGTGAACCCAGCACCTCGCTTGAGGCCTGAGATGCTTTATTGCGTCTGAAGTGGCCGCAAGCTGACAAAAAGAAAACAGCTAACATGGTGGCTACTTCAAGCTGTGTTTTGCCAGCTTTGTGGCGGTTCCGCAGGAGAACCGTTTGGCATGCACCGTTGCGCTGCTGCCCGCGTCCGTTTATAGTGTGTGCGAGGTGTATTCGCAACTGCATTTGCGCTATCGCGCAGCTGCTTCAACATCGTTTTTGTTGAAAGTTCCGTGCCTGCCATCATGCGTTCGTTTTTGCCACTGATGGAGTGGTGATGCCGCCTGCAGTGATTACAGTAAAGTCATTTATGAACCTACTTGGAATCAATATTGTCTCTATGAATCAAGAAAGAGGGGCGCCGTACTCGGAATATTAGATGGCTTGTGTATTTATGGATGTGTCTCCTGTGCCGTTGATTATTCAAGCACAGAGGCCAACTTGTGAGTATTTCAACATGATCGCTCCCACAACGGCTTATTAAGATAGGTGATTTGGGGCAAACATTTCATTTTGCTAAATTATACCGACTTTTTTATTATGATGCGTGTTTTTTTAACTCCCTAGTGTGCGGGTGTTGTGGCGAAAAATATTCCCGGCAGATTGTATTTCAACGCTCCGGTGCTACAACCATATTTTTCCCAATCTTAAGGAAGGGTTCGGAGTCGGGTGTTCCAGCGGAAAGCGCCCTGTGCTTTGAAAGAATGACAAAGGAAAAGTCCAGTTATTTTACCTATCAAAGTTTTCTAAGTTTACGAATGTCACGTTCTGCCAGCCGTATGCAATGCATGCCTTGGGCTGCAGCGTTCTGATAACAGCTGTCCTCGTTAGGGTTGGGTCACTATGGTAAAAAGAAAAGCTTGTGACTCGCTCGTCATCCTTACGTGCGTCTACGCAAGATTGAGAAAGTGGCTAAGGGTGTCTTTCAGAATTTTTGTTTACGCTGTAAAAAAGAGAGGTCATAGCGGTGTACCACAGTATGTTAGCTCTACTCTTCTTAGTACAATATTTTATAACTGCTTGTTGATTCCGTTCTCCACCTTACCAGTCTTTTAATAAATCAGCTCGAACTGCACTTCTATTGTGAAATAATATTGTTTAATGAGTTCCGGTTCCGAATGCGGGATTCATGTTGAGCATAAATGAAAGTACACCTTACCAGCTTCACTAGCGATTAGGTTACGCTTTGGAAATTAAAAGTCATTTTAGATTCCCTGTGGATTGCACAATGCAGAGGGGAAGCGTGCTAGCCAAGTGCGACTGAGTTAGCTGTAAGTGGAATGCGCATCATGTTTCCACTTCACGCGCACGCCTGGATAGCTTCGATTGCAAGTATGTACAAATTTCTCACGGAAAAAGGTAAGGAGACGTTGATAAATTGTAAGAAAAAAGCGCTGGTTAATTTACAATATTATGTTAGGGCCGGTAACTGTTGGGGCTAGGCACGGGAAACGCGTTTGAGCGGTTGTAGCTAGATTATTTCTCGTTAGCATATAGGTGATGGTTTCGACCAGTTTCGATCTGAAACACTAGTTGTGGGTATGTTTTACGTGTTATTGCAGATTAAAGCCTTATTCCTAGGTTTAAAGGTGTCAATTTTTTGCATTGCCCGACGTGTAGCAGCAACTCTGTCATACGCGCTGGAACACTTACTGGAGCATAGAGCAAAGTACTTGAAAAAACGCTTTACATCACGTATTGGTGGCTTAAGGCCAACTGTGAATCATTACTGGAATGTAAATTGTTTTCAGTTTTTTACCTTTTCTTGTTGAATGCGAAAGTGTGTGCGCGGCTGCAGCCGGTGAAAAAGAACGACGCCGTAGTGATGCGGGGGCAAGAAGAGGTCCAGGTGTGGTCAGGCCTAGCAGCGATGCATGCGAAGTCACCGCAGACAAGGCAACCGCCTTTTTTTGAGTGTCCGAAGCCCAAGTGTACCCACTAGTTATTTCAAATTCTTACTTTTATAGCGTAAGGTATTTTATAGCAACGTCGTGATCAATCGGTACACGTTAAGTTATTTATGTGTGCCACCTAACAGACGGCTGGAACTCTACGGCTTTCGGCAGCGACAACCAGCCATTGACCACTCTTTATGTTTACTATGCTATACTATATGACCGTACATGCGAAGAAAGTAAGAACGGCCGATTTCTGCGAAAGGTTGTGTCGCGCTAGTTTTCATATGCCTGTCGATGTCGTGTCTGTGGTTCGCTGCGATTAGTACGAACTTCTCTGCGCCGAGAAAGAATAGAGAAAGAAAACCAGCGTCAAGCAGTTTAAGCCCGGCGACAATTTAGAAGCGACCACATTAGACTTCAGATGCAACCAGCGTTACAGCATCAAGCCTTGTGCGACTTTGTCAGAGCTCACCCATTTTGATTAGAATCCTTGTGTGAGAAGGAAATTGATTGTGGGCACTCCTATTTAAGAAACATTCTGTTGCAGAAATCTGTGGTCTGGAGGTTTCCCCAGTGGGAACGTCTATGCCAGTAATTGCGAGGTAAGTTGGTGCCAAATGGACGATGGGACAATGGGGCAGCTTACTTTATAGAGAAATCCTGACGCTAAATATCCTGAGAGATATAGAAAAGTTTAACCAGGCTCTTTGTGTCGGTACGGCAGCCACTGATTAAGCAAACAAGTTCAAGTTATCATGCGAAAGTGCATGATGTTCAAGAGCGATGAACGTTGCGTTTTACGCTGTTTTTTGCATGTTTTTCGCAGCTTGTCAGAAAGATACAAGCTGTTTTGGGACGCTAATAGTCAAGATACAAATTTTTATGTTCACTAGGCATGCCAGATTTGCAACGTTTCAAGTGAGTGGTAAATGGCGAGATTTCAAATACACAAATAAATATATCGATTGTTTTGTTAATATTCTCAACACCTCAACTGTGTCTTCGAGTGTATGCACTGCTTGGAGATTAGGCTACTTGAACTAACGCAAGTTGTGTCACTGCCCTTCGAGCCTCTTCACTTGTAGAGTGTTTCACATGTCCATCCTACACAGCATAACAAAATGGAAAAACTCGCTGCATATTCGCTTACTGAATGATGATGAATGGGGTAAAGCATCCGTCAGTCTCTCCATACTTCCGTCCGTGTCTGCCTATTTGTCGTTGCTTCTGTTCATCCGTGCATCCATGCGCGCGTCTGTCCATCCGTGCGTCCGTTCATGTGTGTGAGGGGGCATCCGTCCGTCTGTGCGTCTGCCTGTCTGTCTGTGTACAGCAGCCCGTGCTTCCGTCTGTCTGAGACGCGGGCGCTTCGCGAAGTGATCGGATGCGACGCTCATCGGTTCCGTCAATTTTTGGCTGGAACCGTGCTCTTTTCAGTGTGGCTGCTCTAAAACTTGTGCAATTGCATCTGCAAAGTCAGCAAGATTCTGGAGACACCGATCTTACCCAGGTACGCCCAATTTTTGGCCACTTCGAGCAACTTTGCATCACAACGTAGCGAACGAGCTAAGCCTCACGGCTGCGGCTCCGCCACTGCTGGATGCGGAGACGCCCCTCGGTCAACTCCTTAACATGGCACTGCTTGAACAACGTAGCTACGACCTTACGACTCTGTCGTGGTCATATATCCTGACAAATCAATCAGACGACAGCCCATCCTCCATTTCGGCAGAGCAAGCCGTCATTCGTCAACTCGTCGAGGGTCGGCGTCGCCGCCGAAGAAACGCGGAAGGAGCGTCTGCACTGAAAACTCATCTCAACAATCCAACCACTGGAGACGCTCGCGCTCCATCTCCTAAAGCTCCACAAAAGGCTTCACCAGTCTCCAAGTGGACGCCGAAACCAACGGTCAGGATGAATCCTGGCGACTACGTTATCGTGCTCAAGCCCTGCATCACAATAGCCCTCAAGGCAGCGTTTCAACAAAGTGAGCTCGGCGCTGCCATTTCCCAACTCATCGGAAGGCAGCACATGAATGACATCACCATTTCTCCCAAATGGGAGCGAAACATCATCATCTGTCGCACGTAGAATAACGAGGTGGTTCAGAACTTGCTGTCGGACTTTCAAATCAACACCAGCAAAGGACCGCTGGCGCTTCGCCGTCACCTCAAGCTCACCGGTGATGTGTGTCGCGTCGTAATTTCTGTGCACAACCTCGAAACCATTGCGTCCCTGAAACATAGTGTGCAATAGCGTGGTGGTGAACTAGTCTATGCGCGCAAGCTGGGGAACTCCAACGTAACTGTGTTGACTTTCGCGGGAAGAAACGTTCCGCGTTTCATCCTCTATAACGCAGAACTGACTCACGTCAGGGAGTACACGAAAACAGTGCCAGCGCGCTACCGCTGTTGCGCACTGGGGCACCGGGCGGATATCTGTTCAAACCCGGTCACCAAAAGATGCAGCCTTTGCGGCCAAAACGTGGGCGCTGGTCCTGAGGGGGTGGCGCCCCACGAATGCAACCCAACGTGCATAGTTTGCGGGGGTCCGCACCTCACCAGCTCCCGCAAATGCACTGAAAAATTCATCAGGCTTCAGCAATCATGGTCCAGGGCATCGGGGACACCAACAAAACCAAAGCGGCGGTCAACTGGCACTGCGCCAACCCCTGTCAAAGCAGCAACGGCAACGCTACCACCTGGCGCGGCGGAATCTCCACCTCTCGGCGCTCCATCTGGCAACACTGCACGCAACCAACCCAAGGTAGACAGTTGGGTGGAGGTTGCCTCCTCTCCCTCCTCTCTCTTCTCTCCACCTTCTTCTGCCACAAGCACTACCGAAACACAAAAACTCGGGCGCGAGCTCACCCTTTTGCGATCTCAGAATGAAAAACTAGTCAGCGAACTTGACTCGCTCAGAACCAATCTCACTACTCAGCCCTCGTTGAGTGACGAAGAGGAAAATATAACACAGGGATATTCCTACTACTGTAGGGAGTCGCGTCGCGGACCTGGAGACCCAAGTAAATGCAATAGAAACGCAATTGGCTGACCTCCCAAAAATTATCCACGACACCATCGCGCGTCATATGGAGAATGTCATCGCACACATGACACAAACAGTAACTCACATTATCCAAAAGTGGATACAAGACAATCCACGCCTCCTTAAGTGCGTAGGGTCCATTAGGGACGTTAATCGCCCCTCAAAATTTAACAGAGTGACTCCAGATGAGTCTGACTTTTCTGAAGACTCGAGCACGTCAGCACAGGGTGCTAGTGAACTGAGTAATCTTAACAACACAACCCCAACCTCGATCTCCGAACATGGTCCCCAACCCTAGGTCGCGAGCCAGAGCAACTTAGCCGTTGTTACTAACACAGTTGAATTGCAGAGGTCTCAAGAACCACAAAAAGCGGGCTCATTTCCGCCTCTATCTTGAGACCTTTGAGTTCCTCATTGCCGTGGTTGCCCTTCAGGAACCCGGCACGGACGTCAAACTCACAAATTACACTACATTTCAACACAACCCGGAGACATGTATACTTGTTCACAAGCAATATACCGCCCAGGAAGTCACGCTCCCCTTAACACCGCCTTTCCCATACATGATGGTGTCGGTGCTGCCCATAAGGCGATCTGACCCACCTGTTTATATTTTAAACACTTACTGTCCCCCAAAGCCTAAGAACGTCACGTTCAGCGCAACTTACACGCAAGCTATGCAGGTGGCAGGAAGGGACCCTCTCCTGATCGTCGGCGACTTCAATGCCGCAAGCAGGTTATGGGGTTACCCGCGAGAGGACACGCGTGGAAGGAAGCTTGCGGAAGTTTTTTCTACACTTGGACTCACTCTCCACACTGATCCCGCCAGCCCAACACGTGTAGGCAACTCTGTTCAACGAGATACTTGCCCGGACCTCACAATTACACGCGACATACGCCATACCGGCTGGCTGAACACACAGGACACTCTCGGTAGTGATCATTGTGTAATAAACACAACCGCGTACATGCGTCCCTTAAAACGCCCACTTACACAAGCTCATATCCCAGACTGGACAAATTTGTGCACCACTCTACCTTTCGTAGACCCTCTCCAGTCGGGATACGACACCTGGTCTAAGTCAGTGACGTCTACACTGAAACAACATGAATGGCTGATACAGCTCACGGAAACTCAAACGGGCGTGGACAGCCACCTCCTCCATCTTTGGCAGGCCCGCCGTAGCCTCACTAAACGATGGAAAAAACAGAAACATAACAGACGCCTCAAGAAACGCATCCTAAATCTCACGGAGCAGGCTGCGGAATATCCGGCTCAGCTAGCCGACACTAACTGGGTGGACAGGTGCAACACGGCTGCACGCCTAATGTCTGGTCGCAACACGTGGCGCCTGTTTCGCGCTCTCATCAATCCAACACAAACACGCACGAAAACTCAACGTCACTTACATAAGGTCATGCACAACTTTACAGGAACGACAATACAGCTGGCACACACGCTCAGGGACCAATACCTGTGCACCACCAAGGACCCCCGGACGGCCGCATACTCTTACGCAGGCAAAAAGAACACGCAGTTGGACACCCCGTTGGAGCTCCACGACCTCCAGGCGACCTTACGCAAGATGAAGCGTTGCACTGCACAAGGGCGTGACCAGGTTACGGTCAAACTGTTGGCCAATTTTCCCGACGCAGCCTACGTCACGCTCCTCAAATACATCGATAGCATTTGGGACGGAAAAACTCCTCTCCCTCTTGAATGGAAATCAGTTCTTGTGACCTTCATGCCGAAGGCAGGTAAACCTATTGACGTGGGGAACCTTCGCCTTATCTCCCTCACGTCTTGTGTCGGCAAGTTGGTAAAAATTATGGTGCGCGACAGACTCTCCGAGTTTCAAGAAACACAGCACACTTTTTCGGACACCATGTTTGGTTTCCGCCCTCAGACGTCCGCCCAGGATATAGTTCTACAGCTCCACCATGACATAGTAGATCCTGTTGAATGCCCCCACAGTGACAAGGTAGTCCTGGCCTTGGATCTTAAACGGGCATTCGACAACGTGAAGCATAATGTAATCTTTGACCACCTCAGTCAGACCAACTGGGGTTATAAAACATTCTATTATGTTAGACAGTTTCTTACAGACCGTCAAGCCTACATACGCATACAAGATGAGGAACATGGGCCCTTCGTCATCGGCTTGAGGGGAACTCCTCAAGGCGTGGTCCTCTCTCCCCTCCTATTTAATATAACCAAGCTTCATCTTTCCCCCAAATTGGCTTCTCTACCAGGGATACATCACGCTCTTTACGCGGGTGATATCACGATCTAGGCCACGCAAGGTAACCTGGGTTACATGGAGTCATGCCTGCAAGCAGCAGCGACTGTAGTCGACGACTACGCAACCTACTGAGGATTCCAGTGTGCCCCGGCTAAGTAAGAATTTGTGCACGTACGTCCCTCCCCTCAGGACACAACTCAGCTCCATATCAGTCTTCCCTCGGGACCGATCCGTGAGGCCAAAGAGATCCGCGTCCTTGGCCTCTTCATACACCACCAACGCAAGGCCGACACCACTTGAGCCAAGCTTCG